GATTATAATAATATATTTTTTTTTTGTAATGAACTCCGTCTTTTGTTTTAATCAACCCTTCTATAAATGCATTTCACATTTTTATTTCTATAGCTAGTACCTAATATTAATAAAAATTTAAATAAGCGAACACTATCTTATTGTTTTGAATGTTTAAAACTCTCTAAATTAACAAAACTCTAAACCAAAAGTTAACTCATAACGATGACAGGCGTGAGTAGATATTTTCTAAATATAATTTTGTCCATCAACTCCAACAGTATATAGCTTGTTACCTAATATAGGTAGGTACAACTAAAACGTATTTTTGGTTATTGTTTATTCGTAATGTCAAGTGTAGCCTGCTAAACAAACAATAGCTGAATGACCCCATGTACTGCAGTTATTAATAAYTTAAGACAGGGTTCAGTATTCCAGTGGGTTCACAAACAAAAAGATATGCTTTTAAAGGTTTGATCGAGGTCGAATAGGTTTATTCCAAAAACATTATTTACAAGGATATACCCGGAATGACATTTAAAATTTTTTTATTTTTTTTATTTATTAATTTTTATTGTGTAGTCAATACAACGAGTATTTTTACAATGTCATCAATTTATAATTTTGATTGTGTGTTTACATAGTATTTACAATTTTTAATTTTCAATTTTTTACAATTTTCACTAATTTTTGGTTAATTATATGTATGTCCAGATCCATGCCTGAATCTGAAGCGTCTTCTTTGGTGAAAGTAGTATAATATCCTGCAGTAGCCGTGGTTTTAATCTTAGGTTGACGGATCTTCTGCCAATTTTACAGTGAAATGCTCCGTCAGCTTTGTGAAGTTTTTTGTGAAATTTTTTAAATTGTTGCGTTATCTATGTAGAAAGGTATGGTAGGCCCATATCATTTTGGAGTTGTTTGTTCCTCATGAACCATATGAGGCCTTTAGGGCTATTCTTAAAAATGTATTTTGGAGAGTTTGAAGCTTTTTTATTTTTGTTTGTGAAGATTTAAAATTAATCAATTTTACCTATATCCTTATTCATTATATTTTATTCATCTTATAGGTGATATATTTATGGTTTTTAAGTTATATAGTGCCATAGCAACAACTTTTATTATTATATTACTATATTTATTAAATTAATATTAATTAATATTAAATACATACCTACTATAATTTATACTGAAATAACTAATAAAATAACAAATATACTTTTTACTGAGTAATCAAGTTTAATGTATAATTACGCATTAAAAAATTAATTAGAGTAATTCAGAGAGCTCTCTCTCCTCTCCAAAAATTCAAAAACCTATATCAATTGAACCTACGACATACTTCACTTATGTATCAAAACCATATCATAGTCTAAACATATCTTGTTATGATTATTAGTTAACTAGGTATTCATAACTACATGGTACACTGCTATATATCATTAAACATACATCAAATTGATTATAATTCCGTCTTAAATCATGGTTACATCCATTGGTGGTTATTTGCTCTTTAATTTTAGCCACCAGTCTAGCACTATTCTGGGATTCCTATTATTGACAGCTATTTTTAACAATAAATGAACAATATTTTCTTATTTACCTATATTAAATTACTTAAATGCACTGTTATTAAAGAGAGAGAGAGTTTGGGAGGGAGAGGGATAGGTTAGGTTAGGTGGGATAAGGGAGAATAATTAGGTAGACTAGTTATGTTAACAAAGCCGAATACGTAGGAAAGAATATTGAAATGTAAAGGTCTCTTTACCCTTTGGCTGGTTAGATTAGGTTAGCTTATAGTCATAAATTAGGGCTAGGATAATATGCATTGGTATGTTTTTTTTTGCAACTTCTGATTACTTATTTTGGAAGTAATGTCCACGAATTAGCTCTTCTTGCTGAGGTAAATGGTGATATTTTTATTTGTCATATTATTTTTGCATATTTTGGCTAAAATGCATATTTTTGTATATTTTGAACAAAATGAATATTTTTATACATTTCGACTACAAAAACACAAAAAGTGCATGTTTTATAGTATATTTTATTGCAATTTGGAAATCGTTGAAAACACCAAATCTAAACTTGGCCAAAACAAAGGACCGATCTCTGAAAAAAT